GTTGGTCGATGGCATCATCGAAGCGCTGACAGAGATGCGCGTTACCGGCGACGATGACCTGCTCCACAAGGTGCAGCAGTTCTGTGAGACCCACAAGTTCGAGGTGCCCGATATGACTGCCAACTTCGTCCAACCTTGCCGGCCTCGTAGCAATCGGCACATGAACACCAATTATCATGTTTTCCGTGTCGACCTGTTCTACCGAGTGATCGACAAGTTGCTGGCCGAGTTCCCCTACATATTCAGCGCCGAGTCAATGGAGATGCTCTGCCTAGCAGCATGTATCTCTCCACGCAAAGAGTTTGCCTCGTTAAATGTCGACAAGCTCGTGGAGCTGGCCCGCAAGTTCTACATGATTGACTTTCCTGACGTCGACCTAATGCTTCTCGATTAGCAGGTGTTCCACTTCGGCAGGGAGATAGAGAAGGATGAGCTATTGAAGAATATGGGCACACTCCCTGAACTATCGGTCATGCTGGTGCTGACCGACTGGGCCACGGCCGGCTACCACCTTGTATAACGATTTCTGTGACTGATACTGACCCTGTCAGTGGCGACAGCATGACCGAGCGCGTCTTCAGCATCCTGAAAATCATCAAGACGCGTTTGCGTACCGCAATGGGCTCCGACTACCTCAATGACGCCATGCTGCTGTATGTACAGTGAGGGAAAAAGTATTTGATCCCCTGCTGATTTTGTACGTTTGCCCACTGACAAAGAAATGATCAGTCTATAATTTTAATTGTAGGTTTATTTGAACAGTGAGAGACAGAATAACAACAAAATCCAGAAAAACGCATGTCAAAAATGTTATCAATTGATTGGCATTTTAATGAGGGAAATAAGTATTTGACCCCTATGTAAAACATGACTTAGTACTTGGTGACAAAACCCTTGTTGGCAATCACAGAGGTCAGACGTTTCTTGTAGTTGGCCACCAGGTTTGCACACATCTCAGGAGGGATTTTGTCCCACTCCTCTTTGCAGATCTTCTCCAAGTCATTAAGGTTTCGAGGCTGACGTTTGGCAACTCGAACCTTCAGCTCCCTCCACAGATTTTCTATGGGATTAAGGTCTGGAGACTGGCTAGGCCACTACAGGACCTTAATGTGCTTCTTCTTGAGCCACTCCTTTGTTGCCTTGGCCGTGTGTTTTGGGTCATTGTCATGCTGGAATACCCACCCACGACCCATTTTCAATGCCCTAGCTGAGGGAAGGAGGTTCTCACCCAAGATTTGACAGTATATGGCCCCGTCCATCGTCCCTTTGATGCGGTGAAGTTGTCCTGTCCCCTTAGCAGAAAAACACCCCCAAAGCATGTTTCCACCTCCATGTTTGACGGTGGGGATGGTGTTCTTGGGGTCATAAGCAGCATTTCTCCTCCTCCAAACACGGCGAGTTGAGTTCATGCCAAAGAGCTCCGTTTTGGTCTCATCTGACCACAACACTTTCTGGTTGCTGCTTGCAAGGATGGCGTCCCCGACATCGGCCTGTTCTTCACATTGGTCATTGACATCATCAATGTGACGATGAGCTCCTGCAAGCGCAACGACGATCTCATCAACACGCAGAACAAGATTGTGCTGGAGATGATCAACGATCTGCTGGTCTGAGCCAGCAGATGGCATTGGTGCGTCCAGGTGACACGTGCTAGTCGTCGTTCTGGCACGTGCTGCATCGCTTGATCGACATGTTCGGCGTGACAATGCAAGTCAACCAGCATGTGGAGATGGATGGCAGCAAGTCGGAGCAGCGGGTAGAGACGACGCGCCTGCTCGACGGCATGTGCACGTTCAAGTTTGCATTCATCTTGCACATAATGGAGAAGATGCTGCTTATCATGCATGATCTGTCCCAGGCGCTGCAAACGAAGGACCAGAACATCGTCAATGCATTGCGGTTGGTCGATGGCATCATCGAAGCGCTGACAGAGATGCGCGTTACCGGCGATGATGACCTGCTCCACAAGGTGCAGCAGTTCTGTGAGACCCACAAGTTCGAGGTGCCCGATATGACTGCCAACTTCGTCCAACCTTGCCGGCCTCGTAGCAATCGGCACATGAACACCAATTATCATGTTTTCCGTGTCGACCCTGTTTTACCCAGTGATCGACAAGTTGTTGGCCGAGTTCGCCTACATATTCAGCGCCGAGTCAATGGAGATGCTCTACCTAGCAGCATGTATCTCTCCACGCAAGGAGTTTGCCTCATTCAATGTCGACAAGCTCGTGGAGCTGGCCCGCAAGTTCTACATGATTGACTTTCCTGACGTCGACCTAATGCTTCTCGATCAGCATGTGGTCCACTTCGGCAGGGAGATAGAGAAGGATGAGTTATTGAAGAATATGGGCACACTCCCTGAACTATCGGTCATGTTGGTGCTGACCGACTGGGCCACGGCCGGCTACCACCTTGTATAACGATTTCTGTGGCTGATACTAACCCTGTCAGTGGCGACAGCATGACCGAGCGCGTCTTCAGCGTCCTGAAAATCATCAAGACGCGTTTGCGTACCGCAATGGACTCCGACTACCTCAATGACGCCATGCTGCTGTATGTACAGTGAGGGAAAAAAGTATTTGATCCCCTGCTGATTGTGTACGTTTGCCCACTGACAAAGAAATGATCAGTCTATAATTTTAATTGTAGGTTTATTTGAACAGTGAGAGACAGAATAACAACAAAATCCAGAAAAACGCATGTCAAAAATGTTATCAATTGATCTGCATTTTAATGAGGGAAATAAGTATTTGACCCCTCTGCAAAACATGACTTAGTACTTGGTGACAAAACCCTTGTTGGCAATCACAGAGGTCAGACGTTTCTTGTAGTTGGCCACCAGGTTTGCACACATCTCAGGAGGGATTTTGTCCCACTCCTCTTTGCAGATCTTCTCCAAGTCATTAAGGTTTCGAGGCTGACGTTTGGCAACTCGAACCTTCAGCTCCCTCCACAGATTTTCTATGGGATTAAGGTCTGGAGACTGGCGAGGCCACTACAGGACCTTAATGTGCTTCTTCTTGAGCCACTCCTTTGTTGCTTTGGCCGTGTGTTTTGGGTCATTGTCATGCTGGAATACCCACCCACGACCCATTTTCAATGCCCTGGCTGAGGGAAGGAGGTTCTCACCCAAGATTTGACAGTATATGGCCCCGTCCATCGTCCCTTTGATGCGGTGAAGTTGTCCTGTCCCCTTAGCAGAAAAACACCCCCAAAGCATGTTTCCACCTCCATGTTTGACGGTGGGGATGGTGTTCTTGGGGTCATAAGCAGCATTTCTCCTCCTCCAAACACGGCGAGTTGAGTTCATGCCAAAGAGCTCCGTTTTGGTCTCATCTGACCACAACACTTTCTCCCAGTTGTCCTCTGAATCATTCAGATGTTCATTGGCAAATTTCAGACGGGCATGTATATGTGCTTTCTTGAGCAGGGGGACCTTGCGGGCGCTGCAGGATTTCAGTCCTTCACGGCGTAGTGTGTTACCAACTGTTTTCTTGGTGACCATGGTCCCAGCTGCCTTGAGATCACTGACAAGATCCTCCCGTGTAGTTCTGGCCTGATTCCTCACCGTTCGCATGATCATTGCAACTCCACGAGGTGAGATCTTGCATCGAGCCCCAGGCCGAGGGAGATTGACAGTTCTTTTATGTTTATTCCATTTGCGAATAATCGCACCAACTGTTGTCACCTTCTCACCAAGCTGCTTGGCAATGGTCTTGTATCCCATTCCAGCCTTGTGTAGGTCTACAATCTTGTCCCTGACATCCTTGGAGAGCTCTTTGGTCTTGGCCATGGTGGAGAGTTTGGAATCTGATTGATTGATTGCTTCTGTGAACAGGTGTCTTTTATACAGGTAACAAGCTGAGATTAGGAGCACTCCCTTTAATAGTGTGCTCCTAATCTCAGCTTGTTACCTGTATAAAAGACACCTGGGAGCCAGAAATCTTTCTGATTGAGAGGGGGTCAAATACTTATTTCCCTCATTAAAATGCAAATCAATTTATAACATTTTTGACATGCGTTTTTCTGGATTTGTTGTTGTTATTCTGTCTCTCACTGTTCAAATAAACCTACCATTAAAATTATAGACTGATAATTTCTTTGTCAGTGGGCAAACGTACAAGATCAGCAGGGGATCAAATGCTTTTTTCCCTCACTGTAAAGAAGGAAACTGCTGTGATGGTGACGAACGATCAAATCATGTCATACTTCCAGGCCATGTGCCATCGCCGCACATGCGTCGAATAAAAAGCAAGGGACAAGACCTTACTTACTAACAACTCCTATCATTTTTCATTTCTGGAGGGGTTGCCCCCTCTACCTGAAAATGCTGGCTCACCCTCAGAAGAGCAAGATCCCCCGTGTAGTCTTGACAGACTGTTGGTGTCACAGCTCAGTGTGTCACAGTCCACTGTAGCTTCGCAACAGCTGTGCGTCGTCCCGCTTGACTCCTTTGAGGGTTGTTAACTCGACACATTTAGGAACGTCGTCACCTTTACGTCTCGCGACCTGTAACACTCTCGACTTCTAACACTACTTGCAACCTTTAACACTACTTGCAACCTCTAACACTCATGACCTCTAACACTACTCGCGACCTCTAATGCTACTCGCGACTACATCATTAGACCTCCTTTGCCAGTACCAAAATATAATAATAGGGTTTTTCCTCTTTTTTCTGGCAACAAAACTGTATCGTGGTTAATGCACACATGGTTCCTTGTAAACACTCGTGACCTCTAACGCTACTCGCGACCTCTAACGCTACTCGCGACCTCTAATGCTACTTGTGACCTCTAACACTACTCGCGACCTCTAACACTACTCGTGACCTCTCGCGCTACTCGTGACCTCTCACGCTACTCGTGACCTCTCACGCACGCTTCCTCGTCTCTGTGTTAACAAAATAAATGCCAGGCCTGATTGCACCACCCTCTCACTTTCCCCCCCCACTTCCCCCCCTTACCCGCCCTGCCCCCCCCCCCACCTCACCCCCCCAGTCCTCGGTGCGTGAGATCCTAGGCCTGCTGCGTCCGTGCAGCCTGCACGTGGTGCTGTGTGTGCGTCCCACCGCGGCGGCCCCCCGAGCCCTCCCCACGGCAGCGCCCCCCCCGAGCCCTCCCTTCCATCCTGAAGTCGTCGCGCGGCAGCTGAGGACGCTGGGGGTGGTCGCCATGGCGCGCGCTCGTCGCCACGGATACGCGGCACGCGTCCCCATCCCAGAGTTCCTGCAGAGGTGAACTCGCTCGCTCGCACGCTCACCCACTCGCACGCTCACCCTCTCGCTCACCCGCTGACCCACTCACTCACTCGTTCACTCACTCATCCACTCACTCATCCACTCACTCTCTCGCTCAATTGTTCACCCATGCACCGGTCGCTCGCTGACCCTCTCGCTCACCCGCTCGCTCTCTCACTCACCCTCTCACTCACTCATCCACTCGCTTTCTCGCTCACTCGCTCAGCTACTCACTCACCCGCTCGCTCACTCACCTGCTCACGCAATTGCTCGCTCACTCACTCATCCACTCACTCGGTCACTCACTCATCCACTCGCTCGCTCATTCACTTGCTCAACTCCTTACTCGCCCTCTCACTCGCTCGCTCACTCATCCACTGACTCGCTCACTAACTTATCCACTCACTGGTTTACTCACTCATCCAATTGCTCTCTTGCTCACCTACTCACTCACCCGCTCGCTCGCTCACTCATCCACTCACTCGTTCACTCACTCTTTAACTCACTCGTTCACTCACTTATCCATTCACTCGTTCACTTGCTCTCTTGCTCACCTACTCACTCACCCACTCGCTCACTCTCTCACTCATCCACTCACTCGCTCACTAACCTACTCACTCACCTATTTACTCAGTCACCTACTCACCTACGGACTCACCCACTCACTCACCTACTCACCTACTGACTCACCAATCTACTCACCTACTCACCTTCTGAATCATTCACCCACTCACTCACCTACTGACTCACTCACTGACCTACTGCCTCACTCACCCAATCACTCACTCACTTTCTCACTCACTTACTCACTCCCATCCACTCTCCACCACTTGGGTGGTGGAGAGTGGTTGGGTGAGTTCATCGGGGAGTCCGTTGGTGAGTGGGTGGGCAAGTGGCTTGTGGGGTGGGATGGTGAGTAAGTTAGGTGAGTGATTGGGAGGGTGGATAGGATGGTGAGTGAGTACGTGGGTGAGTGGGTGTGATGGTGGGTGGGTGGATTGGATAAGTGGGTGAGTGAGTCGGGTGTTGGTGGGATGGTGAGTGAGTGGGGTGTGGGCGTGAGTTGGGGGGTCGTGGTGGTGAGTGGGATGGTGGGTGGGTTGGATAAGTGGGTGAAGTTGGGGGTGGGGGGCGTTAGTGAGTAGGGTGGAGGATGGGTGAGTTGGGGATTGGTGAGATGGTGAGTGGGATGGTGAATTAGTCAGTGGGATGGTGAGTGAGTGAGTGGGGTGGGTGGGTGAGTTGTGGGTGGGTGGTGGTGGTGGTGTTGGGAGGGAGGGAGAAAGAAGAGGAGGTGGTGGGGGAGCTCCGATGCCCCGGGGTTGATTGTCTGAGTGGTTTGGCTTATTTCCCGAGAGCCGCGCTAATTAAATTGAGCTGCTTCAGTCTCCTCCCAGGCAGCAGCAGTAGCAGCTGCGTACGAATCATTTATATACGGCTGTGTGTGCGCGTGTGTAGACACACAAGACAAAGATCCCCCGTGTAGACCACACAGACTGCTGGGGCAAGTGCTGTCAGCGAGTAGCCACCAATGAAGACCGGGGGTGGGTGGCCAGCATGACGCCCGGCCGCATTTGTCTCGCCAGTGCCGATGTTTCCACACTGCACCGGTTACTCATTTAAGGCTCAGTCGACACAAGGGAGACCCCAGGACTGGTTTAGTTTTCCACTGATGTTAGCCGTGAGTGAAAATCGAATTGGGTCACCAGGATCGGAGTCCAGTGCACTCGGTGGTGTGGTGGGAGAGCTGTGGCACGGTGGCGTGGTGGCGGAGTTCTGGCACGGTGGTGCGGTGGGGGAGCGGTGGCACGGTGGTGCGGTGGGGGAGCGGTGGCACGGTGGTGCGGTGGGGGAGCTGTGGCAAGGTGATGTGGTGGGGGAGCGGTGGCACGGTGGTGTGGTGGGGGAGCGGTGGCACGGTGATGTGGTGGGGGAGCTGTGGCACGGTGGTGTGGTGGGGGAGCTGTGGCATGGTGATGTGGTGGGGGAGCGGTGGCACGGTGGTGTGGTGGGGGAGCTGTGGCATGGTGATGTGGTGGGGGAGCTGTGGCACGGTGGTGTGGTGGGGGAGCTGTGGCATGGTGATGTGGTGGGGGAGCGGTGGCACGGTGGTGTGGTGGGGGAGCTGTGGCATGGTGATGTGGTGGGGGAGCGGTGGCACGGTGGTGTGGTGGGGGAGCTGTGGCATGGTGATGTGGTGGGGGAGCGGTGACACGGTGGTGTGGTGGGGGAGCGGTGGCACGGTGATGTGGTGGGGGAGCGGTGGCACGGTGGTGTGGTGGGGGAGCTGTGACACGGTGGTGCGGTGGGGGAGCTGTGGCACGGTGGTGCGGTGGGGGAGCGGTGGCACGGTGGTGCGGTGGTGGAGCTGTGGCATGGTGGTGCGGTGGGGGAGCGGTGGCACGGTGGTGTGGTGGGGGAGCGGTGGCACGGTGATGCGGTGGGGGAGCTGTGGCACGGTGGTGCGGTGGGGGAGCTGTGGCAAGGTGATGCGGTGGGGGAGCTGTGGCACGGTGGTGCGGTGGGGGAGCAGTGGCAAGGTGGTGCGGTGGGGGAGCTGTGGCAAGGTGGTGCGGTGGGGGAGCGGTGGCACGGTGGCGGAGTTTTGGCACGGTGGTGCGGTGGGGGAGCGGTGGCAAGGTGGTGCGGTGGGGGAGCGGTGGCAAGGTGGTGCGGTGGGGGAGCTGTGGCACGGTGGTGTGGTGGGGGAGCTGTGGCAAGGTGGTGCAGTGGGGGAGCTGTGGTGCGGTGGGGGAGCGGTGGCACGGTGGTGCGGTGGGGAGCTGTGGCACGGTGGTTGCGGTGGGGGAGCGGTGGCACGGTGGTTGCGGTGGGGGAGCTGTGGCACGGTGGTGCGTTGGGGAGCTGTGGCACGGTGGTTGCGGTGGGGGAGCGGTGGCACGGTGGTTGCGGTGGGGGAGCTGTGGCACGGTGGTTGCGGTGGGGGAGCTGTGGCACGGTGGTTGCGGTGGGGGAGCTGTGGCACGGTGGTGCGGTGTGGAGCTGTGGCACGGTGGTTGCGGTGGGGGAGCGGTGGCACGGTGGTGTGGTCGGGGAGCTGTGGCACGGTGGTGCGGTGGGGAGCTGTGGCGCGGTGGTTGCGGTGGGGGAGCGGTGGCACGGTGGTGTGGTGGGGGAGCTGTGGCACGGTGGTGCGGTGGGGAGCGGTGGTGCGGTGGTTGCGGTGGGGGAGCGGTGGCACGGTGGTGTGGTGGTGGAGCTGTGGCACGGTGGTGCGGTGGGGAGCTGTGGTGCGGTGGTTGCGGTGGGGGAGCGGTGGCACGGTGGTGTGGTGGGGGAGCTGTGGCACGGTGGTGCGGTGGGGAGCTGTGGTGCGGTGGTTGCGGTGGGGGAGCGGTGGCACGGTGGTGTGGTGGTGGAGCTGTGGCACGGTGGTGCGGTGGGGAGCTGTGGTGCGGTGGTTGCGGTGGGGGAGCGGTGGCACGGTGGTGTGGTGGTGGAGCTGTGGCACGGTGGTGCGGTGGGGAGCTGTGGCACGGTGGTTGCGGTGGGGGAGCGGTGGCACAGTGGTGTGGTGGGGGAGCTGTGGCACGGTGGTGCGGTGGGGAGCTGTGGTGCGGTGGTTGCGGTGGGGGAGCGGTGGCACGGTGGTGTGGTGGTGGAGCTGTGGCACGGTGGTGCGGTGGGGAGCTGTGGTGCGGTGGTTGCGGTGGGGGAGCGGTGGCACGGTGGTGTGGTGGTGGAGCTGTGGCACGGTGGTGCGGTGGGGAGCTGTGGCACGGTGGTTGCGGTGGGGGAGCGGTGGCACGGTGGTGCGGTGGGGGAGCTGTGGCACGGTGGTGCGGTGGCGGAGCTGTGACACGGTGGTGTGGTGGTGGAGCGGTGGCACGGTGGTGCAGTGGGGGAGCTGTGGCACGGTGGTGTGGTGGGGGAGCGGTCGCACGTAGCTTCATAGTTTAGTTTATATCCGAACACGACTGGGCTCCTGCTGCTGAACCAGGTCACGCAACGTTTGTTTGTCCCGGTGTCGCCGCTCTGGTTTCTGTTTGCTTTCCACGTGGCACTTGGCTCTGGCGTTGTTGCTATTGATGACCCGTCCTGGATGCCTGTCCAATTCTCTCCTTTTTGAACAAAAGACAGCTTGAAATGTAACCGGTGGAGTGAACCATGCTCATACTATCTAACTATTTACTAGCTATTTTATTTTACCAGGTAAGGCCCGCTGAGCTGCTATATAGCACACGTGTGCATACACGTGTACAAAGACAGTTCCCCCGTATAGCCTTAACAGACTGTTGGGGCAAGTACTCTTCGCGAGCACCTATGAAGGCCGGCACGACACACGATGGGGTGGGTGGCCAGCACCACGCCCAGCCGCCTTTGTCTCCCCAGTGGCGATGTTCATACACCACACTAGGTACTTATTTGAGGCTGAGTCAACCTAGAGGAGGCCCAGGACCGGTTCAGATCATCGTTACTAGTGTTGACGATCTCTCAGCTCGCTATTTTCGTAGCGCAGTGTGCTAACCGCGACACTACCTCTCCCTGTGTGTGCACACGTGGGTGGGTTGTGTACACGTGGGTGTGTGTGTAAGTGGCTTATCATCATCATCATGTGACATTTGTAGCAGCCAAATACTCTGAACGCGTTGATGTTGATTCTAAATGTGGAGGGAAAAACCGGAGGGCCCTGAGAAAAATCCATAGGGAGAGAGACGCTGTGTGTGTGTGTTTGTACGAATTATGTCACCAGTTATTTGCATGTTGCGTTGCTCCGAGTTCAAATCCCACTCACGGGCAACATCAGGAGCTAACAGGACTTTCCCCAACAGTCTGTTAAGGCTAATCGGGGGATCTTTGTTTTATTTTGTAATTGTGGGGAGCGGTGGCGTAGTGGTTCGCGTGCTGCCCTGTGAACCCGGCGACCCGAGTTTGATTCTCGCTCACACCTGGGACGAATATCTGAGCCAGTCCTGAGCCTCCCGTAGGTCTATTCAACCTCAAACGAGTATCTGGTGCGGTGTTTAAATATCGCC